TCCCATCTCTTCCTTTGCAGACAAGGTCACACCCTGGACATGGCCCAAAAGATCCACATGCCAGAACCCCTGTGCCTCATTGAGAACACCAAAGGGCAACTAGTGGCTAATCCGAAAGCTCTGAAGATCCTGTCTGCCATTACACAGCCTGTGGTGGTGGTGGCTATCGTGGGCCTCTACCGCACAGGCAAATCCTACCTGATGAACAAGCTGGCTGGGAAACAAAAGGGTGAGTGGCACCAGCAGAGCTCTGCCGAGCCCCTTCTGTGCACTCACACTGCTGACATTGAGCATGGTGATGCTAAGAGAGAAAGTTGGAAGATGGGGAGGAATATTGAAAGCTAATGTTTGGGCCACAGCTGGCTAATTATCTTCTGGGAGATAAAAGGCAAAGGTCTATACCTGACATATCACCTCTTTGCTTTTCTTTTCTTTTCTTTCCTTATTATCTTCTTGGAAAAAGCATAATATTTTCCAATCATAAGGAGTAAGATATCAGTGAAATAACTTTTATATACGTGTAATTAAAAACTATTAAAATTTTGGTAGCATGATATTCTTGTAAAAACAGCCATTAAATTTCCAACCTACAGTGCTTGATGTTCTTATTTTCCCCATGCCTCTGTTGTAACTCAGATCAATACTGGGTAGACACTCTGCCACCTCCTCATCTTGCTTCCCTTCAACCCTAGCTCGGTTGTCAACAGTCTCCAGCTTCCAGACCCCCTCCTCTATTTCAACCTCTCCACTCCCCTTGCAGGCTTCTCAGTTGGATCCACGGTGCAGTCTCACACCAAGGGGATCTGGATGTGGTGTGTGCCTCATCCCGAGAAGCCAAACCACACTCTAGTTCTCCTTGACACCGAGGGCCTCGGGGATGTAGAGAAGGTAAGGAACAGGGACTCCTTTTTGATTAGCCTCCTTGCTTCTGAACATTCTATACACAGGGAGATTTTTATTTTGGTACTTTCATTTGGCTAGTGTATATCTTTTTTTCCTCCCATTCTATTTTTTCTTTCTTTTTTTTGAGGAAGATTAGCCCTGAGCTAACATCTACAGCCACTCTTCCTCTTTTTTTTTTTTTGCTGAGGAAGACTGGCCCTGAGCTAACATCCGTGCCCATCTTCCTCTACTTTATATGTGGAATGCCTACCACAGCATGGCTTGCCAAGTGGTGCCATGTCCGCACCCGGGATTAGAACCAGCGAACCCCAGTCTGCCAAAGCAGAAGGTGCGCACTTAACCACTGTGCCTTGGGCCACCCCCATTCCATTTCTATTTTTAATAGTTAAAGTTTGGAAATCTGAAGTGAGAAAAATATATTGATAAGCCAGATCATAATTGAGAGACCACACTAACGTGGAGCTGGGCTACACATTTGGTTGATGTGTAGTTAACCAAAATGCAGAAAGGTTTTGCAATTAAAATTGCTGTTAGGAGGCTGATCCTGCAGAGAATAGTGCTTAGCAGTGGGCTATGGGTCAGAGAAGCTTGAGTTCAAATCAGGGCTCTGGCCTTGAGACCCTGACTTTGACAAGCGAGAGTAAGTCTCCCCTAATCTTTTATTTTCCCTTTGGTCGTATCTATCTTATCATTTGAACAGTAGATACATGGGCTTTTTCCACTTCTATGCTGGTTTAACTATCAGTCTATGGGGGAGGGAGGAGCTTTGATTTGTGGCACTTGCCAGTTTTCGAAATACTCCCATCGCAGCTGACTCCAAGCTACCAAAGCGAAGTCACTAACTCAGCTTCTGACAAGATGTACACAGTCAGCTCTCGTGAGCTGGTATGAGCTGGCTCCAGCACACAACTGCATCTTTCCCTGGAATTTCCTTTTTTTTATGTTTTCATTTTGCTTTTGATTTGTCACAAAATTCAAACTGGTCAACCTCAATTCGTGCTCTAGTTTTCTCATCTGTAAGATGGAGACAGTAGTTATAAACCTATCTCACAGCATTGTTTTGAGTTTAGATAAGATCAGTAATGTGAACTGACCTGTATATGATAACTACTTGATAAAATAGATGGATGTATTTTGTGTTTAGGCCACCTTTGTTTTACACAACTGAAAATTTTGATTTTAAGTATTCTGGTTTCCCCGCTCACTTTGACTATCCATTTTGCGAATACCTAACTAGTTATAAGAGGGCTTGGTGAGTTAACAATATATAGTTCCATATAAAATTATCAATGCTAATGACAGAACTATTCTATTTAAAGTTCATGCGTTTCTCATAATCATTTTTGTTTGTCTTATTTGACATTTGTAAGTCTGAGGCCTATTTGTAATGATTGCTCATCTGGGAATGCCATGAGAAATGACTTCAATGTGTTCTGACTTCTAGGGTGACAAGAAGAATGATACCCAGATCTTTGCACTGGCGATACTGCTGAGTAGTACTTTTGTGTACAATACCATGAACAAAATTGACCAGCAGGCTATCGACCTATTGCAGTATCCTTTTGTGGTCCAGGATGGCACCAAAGCCAGGGAGAACTCCTCTATTTACCAGCTGTGTCTATGAGGCTGTGAATCAAACACAAAAATGAAAACATGATAAACATTACAAGTATAAGAAAAAAAGTCCTTAAATTTACCGATGAAATGAGGAATTGGTTACAACCCAAAGAGAATACAAAGGTATGGGGAGTCATGGAATTGACTATGGGCTTAGATGCAGCCCTATTTCCACCAGTTTTCCTTAACCGCGTGTTAGCTATGTGACAGAACTGTCAAATCTGCTCAGGACAGTATCCTCACCCGATGGTGGTGGGGTTGAAGATGCAGCTGACTCGGTGAGCGTCTGTCCAGACTTAGTGTGGACTCTGAGAGATTTCTACCTAGCCCTGGAAGCAGATGGGCAACTCGTCACAGCAGATGAATACCTGGAGAATTCGCTGAGGCAAAAGCAAGGTAACAGCGACTTCAGTTTTGGAAAGAGGGGGAAAAGTAACACAAGAAATTATCTCTTGCGAGTTAGTGGTTAAATTTATAGTTTCCTATATTTACTTACCTGGCTAAACTACCAAAGAAATAATTAATAATATTAACTTAAAGTGAACTAATAGATTCAATGTTAAATTGTATTATGTTGCTGTTCTTGGAGTGAATTTCTTTTCCTTTTTCCTTTCCCTGATTGGTTACCTTTTAACTTTTCACTTAGGGTTTGTGAAGATGTATTGAAATAAATAACATCAGGTGGAAGGCACAATTATTTGTGGGAAATAGATTAAAATGAATGTTAATCCTATACTAAGTAAATCCAATTTTTCCTTCTCGAGGCACCGATAGAAGTCTCCAAAATTTCAATTTGCCCCGTCAGTGTATACAGAAATTCTTTCCAAGAAAGAAATGCTTTATTTTTGACTTGCCCACTCACCGGAAGAAGCTTGCCCACCTCGAGACACTACATAATGATGAGCTGGATTCTGACTTTGTGCAACAAGTGGCAGAATTCTGTTCATACGTCTTCAAGCATTCCAAGACTAAAACCCTTTCAGGAGGCATTAAAGTCAATGGACCTCGTGAGTACCTTTTTTAGGATTTTCCTTCAATTCAACATAAAGAATAAGGCATGGTTCTAAGTTTCTCCTTCTACTGTCAATGCTGAAAATGCATAGTCAGTTACTACCAAGAAAATCATATGTATCATATTTATTGAATTCCAGAGATTCCCAAAACTATTTCTAGTGCTTTTTTAGTAATGCCTCTAAAGTAGAATAAAATAGGAATGTAACCTGAAGAAAACATCAAGTTAAAGGAGTTCTACCCATAAATGTTCCACTGTGGAGTTAGACTAACCCACATGGGTTGGCAGCATTTGTTCCACCAGTATAGTGAACACTTATTACGTGTCACAGTTTTCAATAGGCACAAGATAAGGAAGATAATGCATTCTCTGTAGAAATGGAATTTACTTGACACAAACATTAAACAGACAGAAGCCCAAGTTGTCTAGAACCCTTAAAGAAATCTAAGCAGACTGCTTGGTCCAGTTTCTCCTAAAGACTGTATGTCTCAGAACTCTGTAATTTACTGCTACACTCTAGAGGGAAGCTGAGTGCAAACAAAAGTGTGCAAAGGGCTAGGAAGACCAACAGGAAAGTTCCAACAAACACTAAAGGCCACCTGGTCTAATTTGCTCACTTTGTGCTTTTTCAGAGGGTAACACTCACACCAGCTTTACATACTGAAGTGGAAGAGAAGAGGGCATTCTGAAGGGAATAGAAAACTGAGGAACAGGGAAAGAGAGTAAAGAGGCAAAGGGCTTATAGCATTCTAATCAAATGAATATGAATAACTTTCTATAACCATTCCCTCATTTCTCAATGGAAAAAGGATGAAATGTGGATGATCACATAGGTTTTGAGATTTCTCCTTTGAACACTTTCTTTTCCCAAAGAAAGACTTGGCTTCTTGGTCACACAATTTTCCGAAGGAACTTATTTGGGCCACTTGAACACTGTGCAGAATGCCAGAAGAGTTCAGGCAAGGCATTGTGAAATTAACATTCCGAGAATTACCCAGTTTAGAGCATGCTCTATTTCTCTGCAAATAATACAAGCATCTCTTTCCCGGGTGAAGAATTAGAGAGCCTGGTGCTGACCTATGTCAACGCCATCAGCCATGGGTATCTGCCCTGCATGGAGAACTCAGTCTTGGCCTTGGCTCAGATCAAGAACTCAGCAGCAGTGCAAAAGGCCATTGCTCACTATGACCAGCAGATGGGCCGGAAGCTGCAGCTGCCCACGGAAACCCTCCAGGAGCTGCTAGACCTGCACAGGGCCAGTGAGAAAGAAGCCATTGCAGTCTTCATGAAGAACTCTTTCAAGGATGTGAACCAAAGTTTCCAGAAAAAATTACGGGTAATTAATTTCTTTAGCTCTATTTAATGGGGCTTACAGGCAATAAAAGGCAAAGTATTCTTATGAAAGGCAAAATGAGGACTTTTAAGGAAAATAATTTTTACCAGACTTGAAAATAATGACTATCATTCATATGATCAAGATATCACTTTTATTTGAAAAACAAACAAACAAATAAACATGCAACTACTCTGGCCCCTATAGATTTTGAAACTTTCACACACACACAACACATCTTACCATGTTACATCCATGGACTAATTTCTTAAAAGTAATCTTGTTCCTTAAAAAATTGTATTCATAAAGTATTAATTAACTTTCCTTTTTTATTAATCAAGCATACAGAATTACCAGATGGATCTACAAAAAGATTATGCCTCCAGTTTAATAGCATACACTCATGTCATTCTAGCTAATTATTCCATTTCACCTCCTTATTGGGAATCCCAGGCCCAATATAATACTGAACCAGGAATGGTTGTAAAACCATAGGTTGTGTTTTAATATTTGGGCATGAGCCTAGAGACCTGTGGTCTGAAGAGCACATCTAAAGCAGAAGTAGCAAGAGAAAGGGGTTTCAGGAGATTTCAAACACAAAAGTAAAGCCATTTTTTCTAGCATGTATCATCCTTGGAACTTTTCTAGGTTTGGTAGAAAGGATATAGTCTTGCTTGGAGTCTTGTAGTTTCTAGAAACAATACAGAGATTCTCTTTGAGCATCATTTCTAGAGATACTGAAGTGTTGCTGTCATCTTTTCCATGAACATTTGTCCCTTTGAAGACCCAGCTAGAAGCAAAACAGGATGACTTTTATCAACAGAACTTGGAGGCATCACTGGATCGTTGCTCAGCTTTACTTCAGGATCTTTTCAGTCCCCTAGAAAGAGCTGTGAAGCAGGGAGTTTATTCACAGCCAGGTGGGTATCGTCTCTTCATTCAGAAGACAGAAGAGCTGAAGGCAAAGTACTATCGGGAGCCCAGGAAAGGAATTCAGGTATCCCTAGTTTACGTATTAATTGTGGGAAATTGCAGAAGGGTTTCTTTCAAAAGCCAGTGAAGATAGGGAGAAAGTATTTATATTCTACTGATAGCTGTGGAGTTAAACTGAACTGTCACCATAATCACCAGACTTTTATTGCAACTATCAACATTCATTTAAACAAAGGGACATTTTGGGTTACATAGGACTCAATCCTGATAATTGAAACTAACAGGAAAAAATGGTAATTCATTGGCTTACATAAACTAAAAGAAAAACGTTTGAATTTAGTTGAAGTATAGCTACGTTCAGGAGTTTAAACAACATCAATTTTCCCCCTTTCTTCTTTCTTTCCACCACCACTTCAGTTTTCTGTTGTTTTCCTCACTATTGCCCTCATTCTCAGGTAGGCTCACCCCACATGACAGCAAAGAGGACACCAACAGCTCCAAGCTTAGCTAGTTCTTTGTGCCCTCAATCTCAGGGGAGAGACAGCATCTTTCCCAGCTCCCAAATCAGTCTTTAAACACCCAAGTTGCAGTATTTTCCCATCTGTACCCAAATCCTTTGCATCTAGTGGCCCTGGATGCTCTGATTGGCCAGCCCAGAGCTTGTGCCCAGCTCTGTGACAGAAGAGGCTTGACTGACAGTTCCATTAGGTGCAGGCTGTGCACTTCCGGGGAGGAAAATATGCTGGGAAGAAAAAGAAATAAAGAGATTTAAAACATTCCTAACCACCATTTCCTACTTCTAACTGCATGTTTTTGGGGTTTCTAGGCTGAGGAAGCTCTGCAGAAATATTTACAGTCCAAGGAGGCTGTGAGCAATGCCATCCTACAGACAGACCTGGCTCTCACTGCGAGGGAAATGGAGATGGAAGGTGAGAAGAAAATGGAAGAGAAGTAAGATAGAAATTGCTACACATTTTAAATTAATTTGGCCTGGTTCACCTGGGATCACTAAACTAGAGCAAAAATGTCAAAGGTGACTCTTAGCTCCTCAGGATGTACCTGAGCAGGGCATTACTATCAGCTACAGCATGGGTTCCTGGAAGGGAAAAATGGCCCCCAGGGAATTTTCTCTAGGAAGTAGCAGGAATAATAAATAAGAGCTGGAGGCAGAAGGAAGGGGTACTTAAATCCTAAAGATGTTCGTCATTTTCTTCTTTCTCAGAGGCACGTGTGAAGGCAGAGGCTGCAAAGGCTCAAGCACAAATGTTGGAGGCAATTCAAAGGTGGAACCAACAAAGGATGGAAGAGAGGGAGAGACTCTACCAGGAACAAGTGAGACAAATGGTGATGAACAGAGCCTACCAGTTGGCACAGTATCAGAGGGCCCAGGAACGTCGGCTCCAGGTATGCATCAATTATTTCATCTAGGATTTTAATCATCTCTCTCCTCTCTGTACTGATGAGAGCATGAAGCAGTGATAAAGGGCAAGAGGCAGCATACTACCATGGCAAAGACTCTGGAGTCAGACAGCCCCCTAAGCATCCTCACTCCACCTCTTACTAAACACATGGTTTTGGCAAGTTACCAATCTCCACTATGCCTTAGTTTCCACTGGTGGAGAATGGGATGGTAATAACACCTATTTTATAGGGTTATTTTGATAAGTAAATGAGTCAATACTTGTATGCAGAAACCACAAATAGCTTGGCACAGAATAAGCACTACAATTTGTTAAATAAAATCCAAGACCATGTCCAATCCACAATAATTACCTTTTTACTGCTATCTTGTTAATTGCTCTAAGCAACCTTTTCCTTTGGTCATAGATTACCTTGTTAAATTAATTTCATGTTACTGTGTCTACGCTCCTGTCCTTACCTTAATTATCGCTGGAGTTTATTTCATCCAGTCCTTTATTATTATCATCACTCAATAAGCAGTGGTTTCTATTTACCAAGCACTACATAAAGTACTTTACGTGCATTCTTTCATCTAGTCTGCTCAGTGTGACACAAAAATATTATGTTCCTAATTTTCTGATTAGAAAAATAAGGTCCCAAAGAGATAGCTAAATGTGAATATCACACAGTCTGGCAACTTATCAAAGTGCCTCCCCAGTGAGTGGGATCTGCAATGCTTTTGTTTCTGCAAACCTGGCATGAAATTCTTATGTGAGCATCCCTATGAGACAAAGGACACCCTAGCCCTCCCCCAGGGGGCCAGTCTACCTGTAGGCCCTAGTTTTCCATGTACCGCTCCAAGACATTTTTGAGATTACAGCCACGTGCAGAAGGGCAGGATACTCAATCTGACTTTCCTGATCTCCTCACTCTTTCCTTCTACTTCTGTCCTGTAACTGTGGAGATCTGGAACAAATTCCTTTGTCTAAGGTTCAGACTCCTCACCTGATTGTGGCTGTCACCTACAGATCTACTTTATCAGCCTTTCCTCATAGAACTATATTTGACATTTCCCTGTGTATAAATCAGAACTGAAGTCAAGATGTGATCCAAATTGCCCAAGAAGGAAGGGGGAAGGGGCCTCAGGATGTAATTCTTGGGACAACAATATTTCAGGGATCAAGAGATGACAATGTTTCTGTAGCTAGAGAGGAGATAATGGGAGAAGAATTACGCAAGTAGGAAGCCACAAATGACAGATAAAATGGACATGAACAGAAAGGAGGAATTCAGGAACTGTCTTTTGTTACTGATGGGTTAGAATAAGTAAGGAAAAGTCAATGATTTGAGCTTTCTTTCCCCAGTGATCTGGACATTACTTTTTGCTAAGCTCTATAGTTTTGTTTATCACTCTTTAGGAAGAGGCTGAAAAGCTCAAGGAGAGACACCAAGCCGAAAGCAGAAGACTTCAAAATGAGATCCAGGATCTCCAGAGGAATGTGGCCCCACCAGACAATGACACATGTATCTTACTCTAAAGAGCTAAACATCAGAACTTCCTTTTCTTGTTCACTTTCACTGAAGACAAAGGAACAAGAAGTTATAGAACTTGAGACAATCACCATTTAAATAAACTTCGTAATGATTATATTGAACTTCTGTACTGAGTATAAGGTTATGATGCCCATAATTGGTAAAATGTGCGTTTCAATAGTTCAGTAGCTTAAATGATGATCACTTCCTTAAAGGGATTATGAATGTATAATAAGGGACATTTTATCATTGCTTCTATTTGGGAGTGATATTGGGCTGGTTCTATCAGGAGAAGCTTTCTCTTGTACCCCAATGCCACCCCTCTAATTTTTCATATTAGTCTCAGGGTACAATTGAAGTGACCTAGGGGGTGGTATCCTCAATGAACTAAGACAAGTGGACTTGACCAAAGTTTTGGGCTCAGGTGGGCATCACTCCTGCCAAGTAGTCAGGTGCTAGATGCCATCAGAAGGAGGCACTGATGGTAAAGACAACTAACCTACCTTCCTAGTGGGGACAATGTAGTTCTCGACCGGGTGGAGGCTGCTCAGTGTATGGCAAGGATGTGACTCCTGGTTATGTTCAGTGGACACTCTGCTTAGAGAGATTCCAAGCTATAAGCAAATAACGTCATAATGAGATAGACGTGCTCCGGAAGATGGCAGGAACTACCAGCATGGAAATGTGTCATAGGCTGGAGGGCTAAAGAAGACTTTTCCTTCTTGTTACATTCAACAAGGGCATGACTTAAACAGGACATTTTATACCAAGAAAAAATTTATATTGGACTTAACTGTGTATTTTGTCTTTACAATCCTTTAGTGCCTGTAAAGAAATGGTATAAGGAATGCCAGATATTACGCCAAAAAATCTGATAGGGCTCATTTAATGTATGCTTGCTCATAATGCTAAAGTTAAACGATCTTAAACCTTTGTAATCACATATTAAAGCCTAACAATTTTTCTCAAAAACTATGGATTATATAAATATGTCTGTTTGCACATATTTTTAACCATAAATAACTGTAATTAAAAAAAAATAACTCTACTGCTTTGTTTCTATTTTCTTCAATAGTTAAAAATTTAGGGAAGCCTTCTGAATTTCCCTAAGGAGATTAAGAATTACTCTAAGAATTACTTTAAGGCTGGAAATAAAATACCCTTTCATTTGTTTTTTGTTTCTTTGTTTTATCTCTAGTAAAATAGTTTTTAGAAAGTATAGAAACATTACATAGAGTTCTATTTTGTTTCCCTTTAATTGCTTACTTATTCATATAAGGAATTTCCCAGTTGTGCTCGATTATAGGAACTTGAACTTTCTTAGTTGCTCAAAATATGATTTCCTTATTTACGGAAGAAAAGCAGATGAATTTTAATGTCTGCCCTGTTTTCTGTTCCTTGAAGACTTTTACCATGTTGAACGTCCCAGTGCTGCTCAGCTGTATTTCTAGACTTGAGCTGAACTTCAGAAGCTATTAAAGACCACAGCATATCTGCCTGAGCATTTGCCTAACAATACTCTGTAACTGCCTTTCCAAGCTGTACAATTCATAAGGATAAAATAAAATACATTTTAAAATCCAAGGAAATCTCACGGTTGCAAAAACAACTCCATCTTCAGATTAAATATTGATTTTTACTACCTTTCTTATAGAGATTTAAAAAAAAAAACAACTTGAGACGAAGCAAAATTAAGTTACTTATCTAAGGTTCCAAGCTTGGTACTGTTAGCTTGGATCATATTACAAAGCACCTGATTTCTAGTCTAATACTTTTCCTATTAAAGCTCAGGAAAACATTACAGGCTTTTAGAACCTACATGTTGCTTTCACCAGTGGAACACGAACCTTCCTCCCTACCAGCATACCTGCCTCCCACTCATCCCAAATATTCTGATCTCATGGGACAGAGGTGCTCATTGGATACAAAATGACAAGGAAAGCTACTTCAAGGTGAACACTGACAGTGTCCCGAAGCTACCGAGAACTACACCACATTTTCTGTCCTTTACAGTGCTTCTTTGGTGAGGTCAACTGATTAAGTTTTAAATGTAATGAAAAAGCAAGGACACAGATTCTCTCCTTGAACCTCTATAAGGACGGCAGCCCTGCTGACACCTTGATTTTAGCCCTGGGAGACTTCTGACTTCCAGAACTGTAAGATCATTAACTTTGTGTTGTTTTAAGCCACGGTTTGTAGTAATTTGTTATAGCAGCAATAGGAAAATAATGTAACTTCTTTATTAATTAACGTTATCAATTGCTATTAATATCAGCTAATATTTATTCAGGGTTTATTATGTACCAGTTATGAGCACTGTAATCATTCACTTACTGCTCATAAAAACTTGATGAATATTTATTAGTTTTATTAAAATTATTATTAACAATATTCGTGATATAATTTATTACCATTATTATTATTACAGTTATTGTTTTCTCTTCTTTGTGAAGTTGAGGAAATTAAAACATTGGAATTAAATAAATTGTCTAAGGACAAGGCCGCAGATGGCATTTTGACTCTAGACCCCGACACTCATGATCTTGTGATATGCTCTTTCTTAGATAGGAAAATATAGAAATATTGAATAATATTCTAAAATTTAGGAATGAAGGCTACAACAATTAAAATAGAAAGCATAGTTTCAAAATAGTCTAAAAGAATTTAACACAAAAACAGACAAAGAAATCCCCGAAAAGAAGTGGAGAAAGTATGGTATTGATTCTTGAATAAACTGATCATCAACAAAACAGAAAGTCCAAATAAAAGACTGTATGCGAATTATATGGGTTAAAGGTGGACTTCTTCATAGGTTTAGACAAGTGGATGGCCATTTGGAAAAAAATGAAATCGAATCCAGACCTCACACAATACAGTAGAAAAAATCCAAATTAATTTAAAAAATTAAAATGTAAAAATATAAAAATCCATTTGAGGGAACTGAGTATATATTCTTCACAAATCTATAGAGAGGAGGGCCTTTTTCTTTTTTTTTTTTTTTTGATGAAGATTAGCCCTGAGCTAACATCTGCCACCAATCCTCTTTTTTTGCTGAGGAAGACTGTCCCTCAGCTAACATCTGTGCCCATCTTCCTCTACTTTACATGTGGGATGCCTGCCACAGCATGGCTTGACAAGTGGTGCCATGCCCGCACCAGGGATCTGAACTGGCGAACCCCATGCCCAAGCAGAATGTGCAAACTTAACCGCTGCATCACTGGGCTGGCCTGAGGGGAGGGCCTTTTGAAATGTGACTCAAAACTCAGATGACATATGAATTAACAAAAGTAATGTTAAATGTGACTACATAAAAGTAAAAAACCTCCCTCACTTTTGGGCAAAGAAAATGATGAGCAAAATTCTTTTAAAAATGGCACACTGGGAAAAATATTTGCAACTAATGTCACCAATACCTACTCTCCCAAATATATAAAGGGATCTTGAGGGGAAGATCACAAAAGATATGAACAAACAATTCACAGAAAAAAATAAAATAGCATATAAACATATGAAAAGATACTCTGCTTTCATCATAATAAGAAAAATGCAATTGAAAGTACATTGAGAAATCATTTCTAGTCTGTCAGCTTGGCCAAAGTTCACAAGTTTGACAGTACATTCCACTGGCAAGATTATGGAGTGATGGACACTGTTTTATATTACTAATATAAATGAAAATTGTTTCAATATCTAAAGAAGGGAATCTGACAGTTTCTATCCAAATTGCAGATACTTCTGGGCAACTAGTCTACAAATAACTCTGCACTTGTATGAAGTAAAATATATACAAGGTCATTCACTGAAGATAATGTTTGGAATTGAAATGAGAAACAACCCCAACACCCATCTATAAGTAACTGGACAAACCAACCATAGAATAGTAAACATTTGAATTAGGAATAAGAAAGCTCTCTGTATACGAATGTGGAAAGCATGGCACTCTCAGGTGGCTGGCTTCCAAGACAGAGCGTTTCAAGGAGCAAAAGCAGAAGCTAAAGATGTCTTAAGACCCAGTCTTGTACTCAACACCACTGCTGCTGTATTCTAGTGATAGCTTACAGGGCCAGTCCAGATCCAAGGCAAGAAGAAATGGAATCTACCTCTCTATGCAAGGAGGCGCAAGAAATTTGCAGCCATTTTTAATGCATCACTGATGCATCTACAGAACAGAGATGGCAGAGTGATCTCAGCATTCAAAGATTAAGTAAGGCAAAAGCTCATCTGCCTTTTGGAACATTGACTTTGCATAGAGACAAGTGACCTGTGGAGAGATTTCTTACTACTCAGACTCACAAAGTGCTATAAAGACTGGTTCAAAGAACCAAGGAACCAGAGGTTACTCCTTAGCACCTGCTAATATTTACTTTTGAAGTTTTATTTTTTATTACTTTAATTAAGGCAGAACCCCAAATAATATAAGCTTCATGATATCAAAATCCAGATATGCCTTAGAATAAGTAGAGAAAAAACTGGGAAAACTCTGCAACAAAATCATGGTGATTATGTCTGGACTATAATATTAGGGATTTTTTATGTAAGCACAGACATATACGTATTTTTATTGTTTTGAAAAGAGCACTCATTTTAACTACAGAGTATTTTAAAAGGGTGTGGAAAGAGGAAAGGAAAAAATAAAAGTAAAAGCTACCAAAAACCAAACCTTCCCTCCCCGCCCCCCAAACCCATTTGAACAAGAAACAGAAAAACCACAAACCTCTTTCCTGACAAAGTACCTCTAAGAGACAGGCTGTGAAAAATTCTCCATATACTGTTACTGGCTCACAGTTAAGCCTGCTGCTCTGTGTTCATTGTGGAGCCAAGGAAACCTGAGGCAACTGTGAAAGAAGGATGGGCCTGAGTTTTCAAAGCCAGGTGTAGAGGAACCGAGAGGACTTGCCACCGAAAGGACTTGGTAAAAATAGTTGAAAACGCCAACGTTTAAAGCCACAAAAGAAGAGCGTCTCCTCCGATTTCAGTTCTTCTCATCCCCACCCATTACAGGTTGGCTGTAATATCCGGCTTGATTTTCAGCTTCTAAAAACAACAGTCCGGATCATGGGGAGCCAGACGCAGGAGGAGAGCGCTAGGCGCGAGCGAGGGCAACGGAGAATTGCCCCCTGACTGCAGCGTCCGCGCCACGTAAATTCGCTCCTAAACTTTACCTTCCAGGCACATTTCCAGTGACTAACCACCGCAACAGCAAATGCCCAAGTGCACATGCCACCTTGGCGGGCGCAGACCCCACACCAGCAGGTGGGGAAGGCAGGGGGAAGGCAGCATGGGAGCCCGATGGCGGGCGGCCTGCGGGGCTCTTTGCTCCGGGCAGCTCGGCGTGAACGTTTGGACCAGAGGCGGTTGCAAGGCGACAGCGCGGCCACCGTGTCCCGAGAATGCGCTGCTCCTCCTCGGGCATCTCCGCAGGGCTGCATAAAAAGCTCTGCATGGGAGGAGTGCATCCCACTCTCAACTGCGGAAAGGGGGCATAAGTTCTTTCTCGGAATGAGGGACCAAAATCCAGGCCCCTTGCAGAAGTGCTGAGGGGTGTCGTTTCCTCCCACTACCCGTCCCTTCTTCAGACATTTCCCGACTGCCCCCTGCCGGGCATTGGAGAAACAGAGAAAAGATAGCTCTTACCGTACAGACAAGTTAAATCCTGAAGACTGTTTCTTGCTTATTTTTATATTAAATATATTTAGTTCCATAGGTTCTACAAAGCTGTATTATGTGGCATAATTCAATCTCGTTTACACTCACCAACTGTTAAAAATAACTATAAAGTTTACTCCTGTTTATCATGCACTTTAAAAATTTCCTTTATTCTCCTTTTTTTTTTTTTTCTAAGAAGACCAGCTCTGTGCTAACATCCTCACTAATCCTCCTCTTTTTGCTGAGGAAGATCGGCCCTGACCTAACATCTGTGTCTATCTTCCTCTATTTTACATGTGGGACGCCGGCCATAGCACGGCTTGATAAGTGGTGCGACCGTTTCTGCCCAGGATCCAAACAAGCCAACCCCGGCCACCTAAGCGGAGCCTGAAAACTTAATCACTGCACCACCCAGCAGGCCCCTATCGTGCACTTTTTAAATGCATGGTCCGTACACAAACTACATCTGAATTATCCGTGGTACTTGTTGCAAATACTAATTTGGGACATTTTTAATTGTTACTCTAGATAACTTTTATGGACAGTAACTTTTGGAAATTGGTGATTATCTATACAATCTAGTAGAATTATCTCATTCTACTTGTTTAATTTGGAATTAAAAGCTTTGCTTGGATATCCCAGTCCTTCTTTACAGTAAGAAACAAAACAAAACAAAAAACCCCCAAGCAAACAAAAAACCCCCAATCCAAAACTTTGTAATCTCATCTACTCTTCCCCAAAGCTTTTGGAAATATTAACTCTAAGAAAAGAACTCCCGGCTCCATGGTGAGTCATTAAGTTCGCATCTTCCCCTTGGGCGGCCCAGCATTTTCTTGGTTCGGATCCTGGGCACGGACGTGGCACCACTCATGGAGCCATGCTGAGGGAGCGTCCCGCATGCCACAACCAGAAGGACCCACAACTAAAAATATACAACTACGTACTGGGGGGCTTTGGGGAGAAAAAGGAAAAATAAAATCATTAAAAAAAAAAAAGAAAAGAACTCTTCAATTTCTCCTGCTTATAACACACCAGCAAAAGATTCATGTTTTACTCCATACTGCCCCCCCCAACGGCTAAAGTAAAATAAGATGTATTGTACAGAGGAAGTCTGTTAAACCAATTGATGTTTTTTCTTGCAAAAAGATTTTCAGTTACCCTAGATTTCTTGGTATTTTATAGCTTGCAGGACTTATTGACACATATGAACTCACAGCCTCACTTGCTCATTGGAGAAATAGTATATTCATCCTGGAAAATTAAAAGTAGCTTATTAAGAAACTATTTGTTATTCACCTGTATACTAATGAATTAAGAAGGAATAATTGTTCCACCCACAATATCGATAAGAACATTGAGGCTTAAAGAGGTAAGATCCTTTTCATGCTCTTAGGCAACAAGTGATTTGAACCTAAGGTTTGAACCCTGACAGTCTGATTCCAGAATCTGTGCTGTGACAGCCCTCGATGGCTCTGGGTTCCTCTTACCTGGCTCATCTTCCCTTTGTACCCTTCCAGTCAGCCCTTCCTGATGGTCCTCTCCTGCCCCCTTCCTCCTTAGCAGATGTGCCCTCCCCTTACCTGAGGGAGAGCCACATTCTTTAGCTCTGCCTGCTCTCGAGATCACTCCTCCATCCAGCCTGCCTCCAGTGCCCACAGACTCACTAAATCTGTCCTTATTAAGGTGACAGATCTCCTTCATTTTGTCTCTTTCTCAGAATACTCTCTATATAAATTCAAACCCCAATACTCTCTGTCCCCATTTCCTGCTTGTTTTCTCCAGAGCACTTCCCATCACCTAACATAACACATATTTGGGGGTTTTTTGTTTCATTTATTTTCTGTCTTCCCCCACCAGAATAGAGCTTCATGAGGCAGGAATTTCTATTCATTTTGTTGAATCCTGGACACTGAGCACCGAGAACAGTGCTCAGCACAAAGCACGTACTCAGCGTGTGCTTGTTGACTCGATACATAATGACAAACCTAATGATATATTTGATCCTTCTCTTCCATGAACTCCCTAAATGTTTTTTTTTTAATTTTTTTTATTGAGGTCTAGTTTATAGTACTATGAAATTTCAGTTGTACATTAATATTTGTCAAACACCATATAAATGTGCCCTGAACCCCTTGTGCCACCCTCCCTCCCCTTCCCCCGGTAACCACTAAATTGTTTTCTTTGTCTGTAAGTTTGTTTATAGTCCATATATGAGTGAAATCATACAGTGTTTGTCTTTCTCTGTCTGGCTTATTTCGCTTAACATGATGCCCTCAAGGTCCATCCATGTGGCTGCAAATAATAGCAAGCCCTACCTATCCAATGGCATGTATTCTTTTGTGTGTTGTTTGTTTTCTCGTCAAGAAGTTTGTAACAATCATCAATTTTCTTGTATGTATATATAATTTATATATTTTCACCACTTTATAGTGTGCCATTTTATGAAGCTATCACAATTTGTTTCTCCATTTATTATTGATGAACATTGATATTATTCCCAGCATTTATTTTTTATGAACTCAGTTATCATAAATGTTTTTGCAGTTGTATCCTGGTGCGTGTGTACTCAAACTTCCCCTGTGCATTATACCCAGAAGTGGAATTGAAGGTCACAGGGTATGTGTGTCTTTAGCCTTTCCAAATAATATCAAACAGCTTTTCGAACTTTCTATGCAATTTACATGGTTATTAGCAGTGTCTGAGATTTTTCCACATCTTTACCCCCATTTGATAAAGTCAGACATTTCAGCTTTTGCTAATCTAGTAACTGTATAGTCACATATCAAATGCCTCACTATGAATATGTTTGAGACCTTTTCACATATTTATTTGCTGTTTGTATTTTCTGGATTTTTTAGTGCAAAAATTTTATTTCTCCTTTGTTTCTCCTTCCCCCCTACTTTACAAGATCTGAAATTTTACTTAATCCACAGCATTCTTCTTTCATTGTCTGTAATTAGTCATGTAAAATGTGAGGAGAAAAACACTAATCAATTTAAAACTTCAACCCCTCCCCCATTCTTATAGCAAATTTGGCATAAGTCTACAGCATTCACTTAGTTTTGCTGATTGTGATACTGAGGCATACTTTTTTATTTGAGCATCAACGCCTAAACACTTGGCTAATTTACGGTGTTTGGATTGTCACTGATAAATGTCCCAAGGGCCACAAGAAGTTTAAAAGTAGCTTCTAGGTCTTGGACAACTTGCAAGACTGTGCTAATTACTGGCAAGCACTGAGCTTTCCCTTCAATGTATGGTCTTTATGAAAATAAAGAGAATGATAGTTCAGGGTCCAATGCAGCCAGAGCAATGCAAATGTTCTTATTTCTCCCTGATGTGGAGTTTTGTTTTGTTTTGGTTTTTTTGACTTGCTTGTTTCTGAGGGTTCTTACTGATTTTTTTGGGAGAATCTCCCCATTGCTCTATTGAACTTTCTGTCCATTTAGAACATGTCGCCCCTTTTTTTCAAATATATTAATTCCTCTCTGCTCAGCACCACTTGGGGTTGATTGCAGTCCACTGAACTCTCAGGACCCACACTTCCAACACACTTTCTCTCAGTCTATATTTTCTCCTTCCATTGTCCCTTTTGTTTTCTAATCTCCCATTAGCTTCTAAGCAAAATATTTTGTCTTTATCTTTCTTTTCAGGGAATTCTTGATCATCAGTCAGAGAAGACACTTTTCCTTGCTTGGCCCAAATAAATTCTTAGGTTTTATTTGAGAAATTAAAAAATTCAACAAAACTGGAGATAAATATTAGGGAGTTTCAACAATATCCTTTTTATTTTCTACTCAAGATGACGTCAGTAATAGCAAGGCGATTTCCCAGTGGACTAAAATGGTCACTTGAGTCCATCCCAGCTCTAAAATTCCAGCAGCCTCCTAGCTACTCCAGGATCCCAATTCCTAATTACTCCCCATTCCAACACCGTGCTAATTTTTCTAAATATATTTTTGATTTTATTTCAGTCCGTCTCAAAAATTAAGTGATTTTGTTTTCCAATAAATCCTGTTTTCTTAACTAGGCATTCATAGCTTCACATTATGGATCATGTAAGTATATTTCAAGACTCCGTCCTCACTACTCCTCTACTAGAGCCTGTTTCAGCAGAACTGGACTACAGTGACAGCTCAATGCTGTCCTTCTCATGGCAATGTGTTCTCCATTTAGGTGGCCTTCTCTTAAAATGGCCCAAATAAGGAAAATGAGGTACTTCATAAAGATGAACCAGAAACATAGAGTTCTCGTCTCAGTCCTCTCTCTAATTCTACTTATAAATGCATGCTTTTTATTTCCTCTTGAGGGTTAGGTAAAAATACACAGGTTACATTTATCTGTAATGTGACCTATTTGAGCCTCTACAGGTATGGGGTGAAGAAGGGACACAAATGTTTCTTGAAAAAGTCCTTAATATGTATGAAGGTCAGATTGATTGTCATTGCTAAAAGGGAGACAACTACTCTCCCTGCTGGGCCGTTACTTTGTTATAAGTTTAACCATGGTAACCTCTGGACAGCCTGGACTGTCCACTGTCACTGTGTGTTGTTTACTCCTTCCCTACATGTTTCCATCTGGGATCCTCAGTAGATCTGAAACCAAGGGCATCTGGATGTGATGTGTCCCCACCCCTCCAAGCCAAACCACACTCTGGTCTTCCAGACACTGAGGACCTGGGTGATATGAAAAGGTAAGGCAGAGAGTCGAAAAATCTTCTTTGCCCCTGCCTTTTAATTCACCATCTTAATTCAACTTCTGTGACATTTCCTGCAAATAGCAGATGCAAATTATGGATAATAAGGTTAAATTCTCTTACCTTGAACTTATTTCCTAGAGAGCACAAATATTTTGGTACTTCAGGGCAAGATTTTCATCTTATTTTTAACACCAGGGTTAATGACAAAATTGAATAACTACATATTGAGCAGCAGAATGCAGAGCTCTGTGCTAAGTATTACAGATGCAGCCGTGAAGAAGGTAATGGCCCAGAGGCTGGTGGAGGAGACAAGTACACAGT